TTGCTGTCGTTGAGCTAGGGGCTTCCTCGCTCACCTGAGCAAGAGCATCCAGCAAGGATTAAACTTCTCTATTACTATACACCAGAAAATGACCCTTGTTTTAACAAATTATTGTAACTGGTCGTTTATCCAGTCCGAGAAAGTTGTGTCTACGTTAGTGTCACACGGATGTCTTCTCTTCACTAGTCGGTTAATGAAGGTGAATGTTTCAAATCCGTTTTAGAGCAGAGTTCTTGTTCAGAAACTTCTGAAAGAAACGCTATCTGTAATGACTGGCGGATCCTTAAGTGTCGATTTGGCAAGTTGTCCTACTGTGGGTAGCTGCAGAAATACTTCATGTATGTTGTTGTAGATTTAAAAACATTACTCATGTTTTCATTCAAGTGTCTGCATTTCTGACACAGATGTGACATATCTGTATATATTATAAATCAATACTATTTTTAACCACATATTTTGTACAAATATTCACATTAGCTCTGTACTTCAGTGAAAATCTATTATGGTATTAAACATTTTGGTGGAATTAGCAAACTCCTTGTCCGTGCTTTGTTTTCATTTTGTAACAGTTTTAAGGAGCTCAGCCATTTCTTACATCCAAGACAAGTATTATTTCCAGCTATTCAGAACAGGGCCATAAATCCATAATACACCTGTACCCTCTAGTGACCAATTCCAGCCACTGCAGAAGCGCGCAGGTCACTGCTGTAGTTCACTACTGTAGGCCAAAATTGAAGTGGAACCAACAGTAAACATATTGGTAAAACATTTTGTAAAAATTAGCTGTTGCAAAACCTGCTAATGAGAGTAACTATTCGTGTGAAACAGCACGTTACTGTTGAAGAGCACCCAACTGGAGATTTTATAATGGATTTTTCTTTTTACCCCTTTCTCCAAAGATTCTAGTGTGGGTCACTGTCAGGAATCAGGTGATGAACTTGGTGCTAAAGGTGTGGTGTAGTTCAGTCTCCTGTCTACAGAAGCCACATCCACACAGCTTCTACCAATGACAGCAACAATCTGTATTTCCAGTTTTGTGCTAGTCTCAGTCTCCTATCTCTAACAGAACAACAGTAATTAAGGGTAAAAAAAAAAAAAAAAAAAAAGACATTAAGAAAACAATTAAAAGAGCCTCATCCCCTGCTGTAATTCTTAGAGGCCGGGTGAGGGGGAGGAAGGTATCACTCTTGCTTAAAAAATTCAGATATGATGACCAGACTTTGCCACTGCCCCTGGCTCAAGCGAGTCCCTCGCTGCACCAGCCTGGCCAGCTCAGTGACCTTGAGCTCGTGAAGCCAAGCTGTAACTTTATAAAAAAAGGAGGGGAGGGAGCCAGAACCTTACCCAGATGACAGCCTGTACACGGGTTATGTGTAACCCTTTTCTACCTACTACTTACCAACAATGTACTGTGTCGGAGATGTGTAGCTTCCAGCAGGTTGCCATCAACATGAAAGCAGGTTCATCCTCTATGGATTAAGGAAAAAAAAAATCAAACCAAACCAAAATCCCAAACCCACAAGTTATGTTTTCTTTACATTGTAATGCTTGTTTGCACCAGAAGGACATATAAATTAGGCAGTGCCAGCTATAGAGTGATTAATAAGGAGCATGTTCCTCTGCACCACTGAAAGTGTCGTGGTTTTCTACACTGCCACCAGCTGGGGTAAGGTCTGTGCACAAGCACACGGTGCGGGCTCTGGACCTCTGTGTAGCACAGATCCTTAGCGAGTAAAGGCGGGAAACCAGCTCAGACTTCTGTCCCCTTCAGCAGTTCAGTCTCTATCTACTGAGGTGAGGAGGGATAAACTGATGTTCCTCTTCGTTCCAGGGCACGGCTATGGGCCTTGAATATCACAATATGGGAAAGTGTAATTATCTGTCTGAACAAAAACAGAAAATTGACTTAAGACTGGACATTAGGAAAAAATTTTTCACCAAAAGGCTTGTTAAGCATTGGAACGGGCTGCCCAGGGAAGCGGTGGAGTCCCCATCCCTGGAGGTATTTAAAAGGATAGATGAGGTGCTTAGGGACAGGGTTTGGTGGTGGGATGGCAGGGGTAGGGGAACGGTTGGACTTGATGATCTTAAAGGGCTTTTCCAACCTGAACGATTCTATGATTCTAAAATGCAGAGCCTCAGAACAGGAGAGGAGAAAAAAAGGCCGGTAGAAAGACACCCGACTCAAAATCCGTTTTCTCCAAAACTGAAGCAGCCCTTGCAGAGATCCAGAAAGCGAATTTTGCCCCTTGCCTTCACAGCCAGGCCAAAGCTCCGCAGCCCAGCCCGGGCCCTCTTTCTTGCCTGTTGACAGCAATTCCACGGCAGGCAGCGACCCCCTTACAGCCCGGCTCCCTGCAGCCCTGGGCAGGAGCATTTCAGTCTCTAAACACATGGTTGTTCTTAATGTCACTTTAACCAGCAGGACCAAAAAGTACTACACTGGCCTTTTTAAGATATTAATTTTTCATTTATATTCCATTAGAAGAATTTAGTAAAATTAAATTGTGGTGCTATTTTCACACACTTAATGCACTCTGAACAGTTTTTGCAGTGATAGATTCCTTGATGAGTTTATGTCCTTTGCTTGGTAGCTTTCTTTCAATAGGTCTACATGACAGGGTTCCGTACCATAATGCTATAAGTTCTGCCTTTGTTAAACTTTCATCACTACAGTAGTACTTCCATGTTTAATAAGTGCATAGCAACCTGAATAAAATGACTTTAAAAAAAAAAAAAAAGAAGAGAAACAATATGTCCTAAGTTAAATGGATAACAAACAGATTAAAAAAGAGTGAAAAGCAGGAAGAACTGCAACAGCAGATATTCAGTAAACAGTAAAAAGGAAATACTGACCTTAGAGGATGTATATGCATTTCTAAGCTTCCTCTTTATATGTACAATATCTATTAACTGCATCATTTTGAAAAAGAGAATTTGAAGATGATGTATCTCGAAAAAGATCCAGTATAATGTAGATATTTGGAAGACATTTATTATGGTCTTAAGTTGAATAGATAATCAGTTTAGGGATCTACACTCTGAGTGTGTGTCTGTCTGTCTGTCTGTCTGCCTGCCTGCCTGCCTGTGTGGCAGCTCCCCGCCTGGGCAGTCAGATGCCTTCCTCCTGCCAGAGCCCTGTCAGGACCCCAGAGCCCTGCTTGGTGGTGCTGGGTTTTGCACCAGGGTAGGTTTAGGTTGGACATTAGGAAAAACTTCTTCACAGAAAGGGCTGTCAGGCTCTGGAGTGGGCTGCCTAGGGCAGGGGTCGAGTCCCCATCCCTGGAGGGATTTAAAAGAAGGGCAGACGAGGTGCTTAGGGACAGGGTTTAGTGGTGGGATGGCAGGGTTAGGTTAACGCTTGGGCTCAATGATCTTAAATGGCTTTTCCAACCTAAACCATTCTATGATTCTGGAGAGACCTGCACCAGGAGCTGTGCTCAGGGTGGATCCAGTGAGGACCAGGACAGGAAGGCCTTGAGAAAAACCACTATTTATTAAAAATGTTCAATAACAGCATTTGGCAGTGTCGACATTATTAACTGTGTAAAATTCAGAAGTAAAGACCTGAAACTTGGGAGGGCTTAAATTCACACTTGTCACTCCCCAGAATGGAGAATTTATGACTCAGCTGTGGGCTACGCTTAATTTGGCAGAGGGGGTGCGGATGGGTGCAACAGCCTGTCCTCCCTTTCTTCCTCGAGATTCAGGTGAAAGGAATTCTGCGTGGGGTGAAACCGAGTGGTTCTGCAGCCTTTGGGTCTGTGGCGCTTGCTGAAAGGGGAATTACACCTCTGAAGTGTCGGTTCATTGGTAGCAGGACTCTAGGCCTGGATTTTAAGTTTGGGAGATGCGCAAGTTTGGTGTCATGCTTGGCTACCTGCAAGTCAACAGTGCCTGTGCTGTTTTCCAGTGTAACTGTGTATATGAGAGATTTAGCTGGGGAATTGGAGTAGGAAAGTTTCCCATGGAAATTATCTTGTGTTCTACCAAAAGGACAAATCCTATTCCATCATTACAGTGGTATTCAGATGCTTGTTGCGCTATAACTTTTTATATTAACGGGGATATTTCTGTACTCTGGATATTAATATGGATTTAATACTTACACAGTTGCTGTTTTCCAGCTGAATTTCAGTAGCGACTTGCTCCAGAGTATTGCTGAGAAATGGGAACCTAAGGGCAATGGTGTGGAGTATCAGTACAGTCCACATGCAGGATTGCATTGAACAGTATCTGGTCTTGTGGTTAAATGACACCGTTGAGCAAGAAGCAGGGAATATTAGTGTGACATTTGAGGTCAGTCACAGATAGGGAAATCCGGTGTGAGGGTTCTTACAGGAATCTTGCTTTGAGTTGGGTAACTGAGTTTTGAACAAGGAAGTGTTTGGGAAGGGTGGAGGGAAACCGGGCCAGGGGAGGACAACCCAATGCAATATGAAGTTATGTGTCATAGTGTGTCATACTATTAGATAAGGAATGCCAATCATAGCTAGGAATAGTCAATATCCTTGGCTCATGTGATCAGAATTAGTGCTGAATGTGTATGCAAGGAGCAAGCGCTTTAGGGGACAGTGTGCATGGTCGCCATCTCATGCAGTTCATGGGTGGGGTTTGTGTTATATTTCTTGTGTCTTGCACACTTCATGCTGCTGGCGCTCAGGTAGCAGTGGTATTTGACTGGTAAGGACAGACAGTGCTTGCTTGAAAGACGTAGTGTTTCCAGTGGCTCACAACTCTACCACTGAATCTTTCGACCACCTCTTTTCTATGCATTCAGAGACCTAAGTGGTCAGTTAGAAGAACTTAAACTGCACGCTGACTTGTATGACTTGTGTGTGTTCTTGTTTGTAAAGCTGTCTGTACACTAGAAGTGACCTTTGGTAGCAAGTGTCAGAATGAATTGATCAGCAAGAGCTCCATTATGTAGGGGAGCTACGATCAGATTAGAGATGTGATAAAATGTTGGGAAACTGATGTTCCTGCTCTTTGTCTAACTCTTGATCTGACACCTTTTAAGCAGCAAAACCTTTTTAATGGATATACTGCTATATCTGAAATTCAAAGCTTATTTGCAAGTTTCTCTACTAGGAATTGTACTCTGCATGTTTAGTAATCCCATACCGAGTATCGGGGCTGAGAAGCTGTGATGGTTTCTAGCTGGTCCCCCTTCCCTGATAGGCGCTGTGCAGGCGTGGAGTCTTCCAGGATCTACTTCCCGCTCCCATCCACTGCTCTGCCACGTGATGCTGGTCTGTCTGTGCCACGCTTGCCCAGAAGTAATGCTCCAGAGATCTTAATGAGGGCTATAAAGTTCTGGTGGAGATGAGCATTGTTATTCTCAAAGTGAGTGCTGTCCTTGTTTACGTCTTGACTCTTAACAAGCAGAAGCTTTCTCACAGGACAGTTTCTTACAACTTGGAGTACAGAAACTACTTGAAAGCTTGTCAAATTGCAAGAGCAGGGGTTCCTGTGTATTGGGAGCAGGAAGAAAAAAGTAAGAGGTTGGGCAGCAGTGGTGGATAAAGAAATTGCTTTGTAAACTGTGTTTCATTTAACAAATTGTAGTGTCTCACTTCCCATCTCTGAAGTTGGGATATTGATATAACTGACAGGGAAAAGGTCTCGTTCCTATGTTTGGAGTGCTCAGTGTTAGTAAAGCAAGCTCTATAAATACAGAAGGAATATTTTAGCTACTCATTCTTAAAACTAAGTTATGACTTTGACAAACACATTAACGCAAACAAATCTTCTGTCTCTGCTCAACAGATGCCATGTTGCCTCAGAAGAGGGGACAAATACCTTCCAGAATAGCCATGAACTGTTACTGGAAAGTCCTGGCAATTTTCTCACTGTTTCTTCCAAGAGCATTGTCTCTCCAGCCAGCCCAGCCCAGAGTATTGCTAGTATCTTTTGATGGATTTCGATGGGATTACATCTATAAAGTCTCGACTCCCAATTTTCACTATGCCATGGAGAATGGTGTTCATGTCAAACAGGTCACTAATGTGTTTATAACCAAAACGTATCCTAATCATTATACAATGGTGACTGGTCTCTATGCAGAAAGCCACGGTATGGTTGCTAATGAGATGTATGATCCTGTTCTGAATGAAACTTTCTCTCTGAACAAAATGGATATCCATAACTCCAAGTTCTGGGAAGAAGCCAGCCCAATATGGGTAACGAACCAGGGGGAAGGACATAAAACTGGAGCAGCTATGTGGCCTGGAACAGATGTGAAAATACATGGAGTCTTTCCTACATATTACATGCCCTACAATGAATCTGTTTCCTTTGAAGACAGAGTTGCTAGGCTTATTGACTGGTTTACATCAGAAGAACCCATAAACTTTGGTCTCCTATATTGGGAACAGCCTGATGAGATGGGCCATATTCTGGGCCCAGAAAACCCACTTATGGGACCGGTAATTAGTGATATTGACAAAAAGCTGGGATATCTTATGTCTGAACTGAAGAAAGCGAAGCTGTGGGATGTGATAAATGTCATAATCACAAGTGATCATGGAATGTCACAGTCCTCCTTGGAAAGGCTCATTGAGCTTGATCAGTATGTGAACAGAGCGCTCTATGAAGTCATTGATCACTCTCCTGCAGTAGCTATTTTGCCAAAAGAAGGTAGGAGCTATAGCAGTAAAATTCTCTGAAAAAAATACTTGAGTATTGAATCTTTATAGACTTTGTTCCTTAACTGAAGTGGCGGTAGCAGCACTGATGCCAGTAGGACGTCAGCCTTGAAGAAGGAGTACTTGCAGGATTGCTTCTTTGTTCTTTTTGCTAGCTCTGTCAAAAGCCTGGATTAACTTTCTGAAATGAAAAGTGAGCAGATCTGTCCGTGTTGACTAATATTGCCAAATACCCTTTAGTCTTTATGAGAAGTAAGATAATCTAACGGCATTAGCAAGGATGAATGGTGTTCTAGATAGGTAACGACTGAATGTTACATATCTTGCCTTTCGTCAAGATGATAAAGCCATAGTGGAAGAATTAGATTTCTAACTCAAACAGTAAACTGAAACCAGATGGGACCTTTGATAAAAGAAAGCCTGTGTTGGCTCTTTGATTAGCTGCCAGCTATTGTAGTTCGCTACTTTAGGTTTTTCCCATCACGCTGAACAGCCAGCCAGTTATGTTCTTACATTTTTATTGTGATAATGACGGGCAAGAATACCGTTGGAATTGAAATCTGAAGTCTGGTTGCAGTCATTGAAGGGCTGCGTAAATGTCAGGTGTGTGTTTAGAGTCACTGATGTTGAGGAGCTGCTTTTTATTTTGATGATCAAAAGCTGTAACTACTTGGTGTGAATGCATTAACCTGGAAAATAGCGGTTTTTATGTGGGCAGGGGTGCCAATTCGGAAGTTGAGTTTTAAGGTGGCCTTCTGAAAAAGGTGGGGTTTAGGATTTCTGTAACATTTTCATCACTAATGGATAGCAGTTTGTATTCAATGCCCCAGCAGGGAGGGTATTTTTCAGACTTAAGTGACTTTTAAATGTGTAAACAAATGTCTCTTGTAATTTTTAGTTTGAAGAATACTCCAGACTAAAATGCTAGCATGTCCAAACTGAGATCATTTGCTGCCTGAGCACACTTGGGTGCTTGTAGCTGCGTGCTGTTTCTCTCGGTGGTGATAGAAGAGCCAAGTTTGGGAGCTTCATCCTAATGGAGACAAACATAGTTGACCAGGATGTTCTCATTACCAAATAAAGGAGTTGTAAAAGTAAACTTCAGTGCTGAAACATCTCTGTAAATGCAGTAAATGAGAACTTGAAACTGCGTAACCTGGTTCTCCTGTCTGCTAAATGCTGAAAAGAAATAGTATCTCTGCAGCAATTAGATGATAGAATAGTAAAAAAGCCATTTCAGTAGATTCAGAAATAGCTTGGACTTGGTTTTGCCCAGAGGTTCAGATATTAATTACGCTACCAATAAACAAGAATTAGTTTTGAGCACAGCTAAAATTCCTTCCTTCGTGTTACCAACAGTAATTTTCATTATAAGACAATGAGCTTCGCTCTCAGTTTAGCTATGAAATAACGTATACTTAAGTACGTAGGACTGATTCTTCAACAGTTACTCCATTTGTCTTGCTTAAACCGAGGGAATGGTAAAACTTAGTGACACATTGAGAAAAATTTTGAATGCTTAAGAATGCAGCAATTTCTGCTACTGTAACAGTTTGGCTGCGTATTTCTTCCCCAAGTGATGGATTAAAGCCATTATTTAACCATGCTTGTGTATATGTGTAGAACCAATTATATGTTCATGAAGATGGTACATGCAGCACAGCTGGTGATGCTGGCCTGTTTCTTGCATTTAATATAAATATATTAATTCAAATAATTAATTTAGTGTAAAAAACATAGTTTGCTGTATTTGGGGCTTCTCCTCCCTGTTATCCCGTATAGAAAAGTGGCCTAACAAAATCGATTTTCTTACCAATATAGTCCTAGAAATGCTAGATTCAAGTCCCTTTTCTTGTTGTTGTAACTATCTCTATCATATCTGGACTTTTGCTGTCTCACCTTGACCTTTATTGTGTTTCTTAAGTTTAGTGATTATTTTTTTATGTCAGTTTGAGACAAGGAACTTTATACATTAATCTATTTCCAGTTTTCCTCCAGAATTTCTATACTGGATCCTAGGAACTGAGGGGGAAAAGGAAGACGGTTTCTTTAAAGACACTGGGCACCTCCTCCCAAACTTTTTTTTCCTGAGATGATGTATTCAAAACTCCATGCAGGCTGTAAATGGCAGACCAGCATTTATCCTTGGTTTGCTTCAGGCAGTGTCTTGGGTCAAACTAAGCACTTGTTCTTGTGGTCATCAAGGCGATCGTTTCTTGGGACAGGCAGTCGGAGCAGAGCTTGCTCGCAGGAACACCCACTGCAGGATGTACAGCTAGGGGTGAAGGCAGAACTAGCGAGGAACGATAAGTCAAAATGACAGGATGTGCTTAAATCCTACTTGTCTGCTAAAAACGGCAGTGTTGGCCACAAAGAAAATGTAAACATCTTCGAACGGTGCTCCAGATGTTGTAGCTCTGAAAACTGGCCTGCAGAGGCTAGCTGTGAACTCGGCTGTGAACTCCGACTGAATTGTGCGTGTGTGTAGCACAAAGTGTTTAAATAAGTCATGGAGCTGAGTTATTTGGTATGTAATAGAAGTCTGTTACATACGCTGCATAGCCCTCAATAGGAATCCATGCTTAAATGGTGGTGGGGGGGTGGTGAAGAAATTTGCTGAGGTGTAGGTTCCTGAACTTGCTTTTGTGTTCCTGTCTGTGTGTGCTTGTTCCTCCTTTCTGTGTGCTGATATTCTGGCTTGTCCAACTGCTTTCTGGCCGTTCAGTGACTGTTACTGGAGAGAAAAGCTCAGAAACTGGAAATAAGCAAATAAAAAATTGGGGGTAAAAACCGCCTATTTATTTGGCAGTGTTAGTACAGCTCTTGAGGGTTTACGCTCGCTGTGCGGTAGGTGATTAGGGAAAGGAAAGGAGTAGAGACTGAGAACATAAAGGAGTAGGTAGTGCTGTGAGCCCTTATGAAGACACGGAGTGGCTGACAGTTCTAGACTGGAAGTGCCATCTTCATCTGCCAGTCCCACCCATCCCTTCGTACATTTGTCGTGTGGTGTTCCCCGCTGAGGCCTCTGCAATCTTTGTACAGCTCCTGACGTGTTAGTGGCATCTGGACCGTGACCTCGGGGCTTCCGCTGAAAGATTAACGCCAGCTAGTTTTGCTTATCCCTAGGCAATTAATTGCTAATACTATGATGTTACACGGTGCATAGCAACAAACTAGCTACTCTCTCTAAATTGGCTAAACTTGTCATCGGAATGGTAGAAGATCAAAACTGGGAATCAAATGAGGTCAAATATTGAGCTGTTTATTGGAGCATATTATAGCAGGAGAAATAAATAGTTGGGTTCACTCAGAAATAAGTTTTCAGAGATGCGAAGAAACCAAGTGGCTTTTTGGCCTTTTAAAGGAAAGCAACTAACAATTAAACTGCTTTAAAATGAATAAAAAGTGTCACCTGTCATCATAGCCAGCTGGGGGAAAAACAATACGGCCTTAAGGTGCTCATTACCTCGTAACCAGGTTTAGGAGCCATCTTCTTGCTTTCAGGCTTTGCATAGAGCTAGGAGGAGCTCGCTTCTTTTCCGTGAGACTTAACTGAATGCCTTCCAGCTCACGCTTGTGAGAGGCTTACATTCTGATAACTGTGAAATGAGGGATTTTTTCTAAAATTAGCAAGGCACTTACTGCTTAGGAATAGGCTGTGAAGTCTGATGCCAGGTGTGATCTTACTCGTTGTCTCTCACAGCTATAATTAGCTTGTGGGGAAGTGCATTTTGCCCTCTTCTTTCAGTTGTATTTAAACTACCGATGAGCTCAGTAATCATATTGGTGTGTTTAAGTTTTGTCTCTTGTTTCTTTTGTTTGTTTGAAGGCAAACTGGATGAAGTATATGAAGCTTTGGCCAATGCTCATCCCAACATGACTGTCTATAAAAAGGAGCAGATTCCAGATAGATTACATTACAAACACAACAGTAGAATTCAGCCAATCTTAGCAGTGGCTGATAAAGGATGGGAAATTGTTTATAATAAGTCTGGCGGTTTTCAATGTAAGTATCCTGTCTTTACAGTGTTTTGCTGTATCTTCCTAATCAGAGGCCTTACATGGTACTTCCTCTCCCAATCTCAATGTTAATGGGAGGGAAAACTGAAGCTAAGTGTGTAGAATCTATAATTTATTTTTCCTGATGGGATGGGAAGCACCCTATGAGTAAGGGAGGGGGAACTGGACTTACCATTTCTAAACACTTACTGAGATAAGATCATTCACATGTTTTAGTGGCCACATACTTGAGGTCTTCTTGCGAGATCTAGCAAACTGACAAGCACTTCCTGAGAGATTAAAAAAAAAAAAAAAGTTGTAACTGAACTTGTTGAGTAGAGGATGAATAGCATTGTTTTATCATGCACTATTTATTTACTGAAGAAGGGTTGGGTTGGAAATACAAGAATGCTTTCTGAAAGTCCTCAGCTTCCATGGATGCCTACACTTCCAGTAACCTTGTTCTATTGCTAGAAAGAGTCTCTGAGTATTGTGTTACTGTACACCAGTGATTTTCATTTCCCTTGTAGGGTAAGATGCATTCTATTTGGAGGAAAAAACCCTACTTTTATGTTCCTCACCTTGGGGTTGTGAAATTTATTACAGGTAGAATGGAGACAGTAAACTGTAACTTTTGATGAGCTAGGAGGAAAAATAGGTGTCATATGGTCAGTTCTTAAGTTTCTTAATTTAAAACCTTTTAAACTTTGCTACTGGTTATCATCTGCAAGACACAACAAATTTTTCAGTTGTTATAGCTGATGAGAGCAGCTTTTTGGGCCTGCATGTTCATTCACTTTTTTCAGGGTTTTTAGTGCCCCTGTAAAGAAGGGGCACTGGGGACCCACTAGCGAGATTCATAAATTTTTTTCCTTCTTGATGAGTAGATAATGCACAAAATTGGACAAAGTATCAAAGCAGTCAGAGCTTAAATTCTGTCTGCTACTAGGAGTCAGACAATCTGTCTCTACATGGATTTTTTTTTTTTTTTTTTTTTTTTAAGGTACAAATCCCAGCAGCCTCCCTCAGCAGAGCTCAGGGGGAACAGGCAAAGCCCACAGCACAGGGTCATTTTGCTGCAGAAGGTCCCGCAGACCTCAGTGGGAAGGAGACCTTCAACTCCAGTAGCCCTAACTTCTGCTGGGAACAAAACATGAGCATCACAAGGACAGGGTGGCTGTCCCCCTGGCTCCACGTGGCAGCAGCATGCATTACAGAAGGCCCTTAAGCATCTCCTAAGAAAGTTTCTGTTGTGCCGAGAGATGGCTGCGTCACTGACGTAAGGGGAGAAGGGATCAGGTCCTAGCTTGGGGGTTTTAGAAACTGGTGAGTCAAGTATCTTTGAGGAACTGCTTGGGTATGGCCACAAGCCAGGGCCTGGCTCTTCATTTGGAGCATCCTGTGAACTTCCCACCCCCATGTTTTCCTAAGAGATCTTGTCCAATTGTAAAGTTGGAGTTCTTCCTTTAGGAAAATCAAGGAAACTTGTGTGTAGCACAGCATGCTGCATATAACAGTGCTGTTACTGCCATGAGAGCTTACCTTCTTTTTTTTTTTTAAGGCATCTTCTCTTTGTAGTTCTGAGACTTGGTATTTGCTAGGAGACCTTTGTGCTGTTGATCAAATGATTCTTCTAAACCCCAATTGTAAAGTTGGAGTTCTTCCTTTAGGAAAATCAAGGAAACTTGTGTGTAGCACAGCATGCTGCATATAACAGTGCTGTTACTGCCATGAGAGCTTACCTTCTTTTTTTTTTTTAAGGCATCTTCTCTTTGTAGTTCTGAGACTTGGTATTTGCTAGGAGACCTTTGTGCTGTTGATCAAATGATTCTTCTAAACCTCTGAAAGAATAAATGACGGCTGTTCCTTTTCTGCATTATGCCAATTCTAGGAAAAGGTTCAATGCTTGTTTTGCAACTTCAGAATATTGACCTTTATCTATCTTTTATTTCTAGTTGGTAATCATGGATATGACAACATCGTACCAGAAATGCATCCAATTTTTTTGGCGGTTGGGCCTGCTTTCAGAAAGAATGCCACCAAAGAAGTCATGAATGCTACAGACTTGTACCCCTTACTGTGCCATCTACTTGGTATTAACCCACTGCCAAACAATGGTTCATTCAACGCTGTGAAAGATATACTTGCAGAAGAAGTGCCTGTAGCTTTTGGAACAGACACCTATGCTACTGTTGTAGGAGTCTTTCTGGGCAGCTTTCTTGTTATGGTTTTTATTGCAGTTTTTGTTAAGCATTTTATCCTCACCCAAGCACATACCATGCAAATGCAACATACCGAAGCTGCCCAGCCGCTGTTGCAAGATCAATAACACTTGCTACTATCTCCTGTTTGATGCTTAAAATAAGCTTATAAAAAAAAAAAAAATATGGAGGTGGTTCAGCATAAGTATGTGGAGTAAGAGGAAATGGATGCTGATCCATTGGTACACTGGAGTACGTACATACTAGGCACGCAGAGAAAGTGTGTCTCTGTTTCACCCTGCAACCACTTAATCTTTCAGGGGTTGAAAATATTCTAGGTAAACTTCAAAGCTGTATATGTATGTAGACATGTAGTGACAATAGACCTTGAATACCTCATTCTAAAAGCTACTTTTAGGGAAATACCTAAGTACCATCAACTGAGGTACACTTCACAGGCTATTACATGATGATCTAATTTCCCCCATTGCCCCCCTGCCCCCCCTTTTTTTTTCTTTGAGAGGTTTTTTAAAGTCTCTTAGATTCTAACATGTCACTGAATGTGACTAGACTTCTTTGGGCTTTTTTCTTCCCTGCCCAAGGAAGCTTTCGCATGGATCACCATTAGCGATAGCTTGGTGGATTAAATCCTGCAGAAACCAACATTAATAAGCTAGGTCATGCAGTGCTAAGTGTCTAAGTTTAGAGTTAGGCATATTTCTTTAAACTACTGTGTTAATTGTAGCCCCTAAATATGAATGTAGGTGGTATTGCCTTTAGCAGTCAGCATTAAACGACTTGATGTTTTTTTTTTCTTTTAAACTTGGGTAAATACAGGTTTTCATGATTTTAGGTAAATGTAGGTCTTTACCTTTTCTATTGGTTCCTGTACACTGGAATAAATTTTCTAGGAGTTCCATGCAGGAGAACAACACCCATATATCCAAACGGAGTCTTTTGTATTTCTGTGATAAGAGGGTTCTTTCAGAAGAAGGCAGATGAATCAGTTAAGGAACATACATGTACAAGCTGGTTTCAGAGTGCTGTCAAGCTTGTCACTGGGTGTAACATCAGATCTTTTACTGGAGACTCTTCTCAGGCCTGAGCTTGGGTTGCTGTCTTGTGTTTTATCTGATATGTCTGGGTGGACCTTAGAATTTGATGAGTAGGATTAGACACACAATTTAAGGAATAGCTGTATAAATCTTAAGCCATATATACTCTTAAATCTGAAAAAGCACGCTTTGATATGAAAAAAAGGTATAAGACTGGAGTTTGTTCTTCCAGAGGAAAGTCTCTGTCAGGGAAAATTATTGAGTCAACAAACCTATATATTACTTTGATTCTTTTTTGTGTGGGGCAATAAATATTCTTGCTATTGTGGGTTTTTTTTTATGAGCTCACTTAGGTGAGAAGTTGCTGACTAAGATTTGTATGAAAAAACATGGTATCAAGTGACACTAGTTGTCTAGTTGTTGGACTTGGTTAAAAGCTGATTTTTTTTTCCCCTCCCTGTGTGAGTTAGTCTTTCTCTGCACTTTGCTTCTGAGTACAGGGCCTGAAGGATAAAGAAACTCATTCAAAATTCACACAAATACTCAGTCTGGAATTTCTGTAAGTGCAATTCATTGCTTTATCCACAGCACCCAGCAGAGGGCAAAGATGGGAACTTCTTGGCCTTGGATGTGCTCTGTCAAACTTGATGGTGTGACTAACAGGCTAATACTGCAATCGGGAGGGCTGTTAGCAGGACAAGCAAGGAGCTGCAACAAGCTGGCTGACTGAAGTTCAAAACTCGTTTTGCTAAACTTAGTTCTAGACTTAATGAATGATGTCTGGGTGAGTTCAGAAGTGAGTTTACTCTGCCTCAGTGATGACTCTACTTCCAACACAGTGAGGACCAGACAGCTCATAACGTGGCACTGTAATCTGTTGTATTCCTCCTCCGTGATGGCAGAGGCACTTGCTTAGCATTAACCTGTCTTGCAAACAGATGTGGAAAGTTTCCAGAGGCTGCAGCTAGGTGCACCGAATGCTGGAGAGGGAAGGCAGTGAAATAACCCAATTTGAGGTGTATGCTGAAAGTCTAGCTGTAATAGTAGCTTTAGGAAGACAGGAAACTAGCAGATGTGTTAGGAGGACAGCCCCTTAATTTGCAGAATATGTATGAAGTCTTAATCTAACGCATTACGGGAATTCTGCTGTTATTCTGTGCACTGCCTTGCTCTCCTATGTTGCCATTTTCTTAAGAAAATACTGAAGGAAAACTTCTGGGATAGCTGTGCCTGACACTGTAAAGCTGATTCTTGGTGGAGCTGACTATTTGGTATGTCTTAAATCTAATTTGCTGATGCCAGCTAAAACTGAATGCTGCAGGGGCTTATCAAGCTGAAAGATGAAGGCAGTAATGATGCCATGGTAGTTTCTAGAGAGGCTGGGAAGTCAGAGTAGAAAACCTAAACCTCTAAATTGTTCCTAATCACTTCCCTAGCTACCTTCCAAGAAGTGGATGGCAGATAGCAAATTGATGCAGAGTCCACCTTTTCTTGCTTAAAAACAAATTGTAGCACAAACTTCGTGTGTGTGTGTGTGTGTAGATAAAGATCTACAGGCTTGGTTAAGGGAGTAACAGTGAAGACTGGAGATGCTGTAATCCTCACCTGTGGCTACCTCAGTTACTCACTTTCTCACTTTAGAACATGCTGCTTTAATAGAAATTCTTCTTATTGTAGTCATTTCATAGCGATGCTTGTGGCAGATGTAAAAACTGGATTGTAATCTCAGAGGTGTTCATTAAACTCTGGCTTTTTTAATTGTGACAGGTGTAGTTCTACCATCAGCCATGGTGACCCTTCATTTTACAGAGGGGGTGAAGTTGGTCAGTGTTGTTCAGCCATCCTGGGACTTAGGCTTACCTGCCCAAACATGTGACGAGGGAAGAGCCGTAAGTTTCCCCTAACAAAGGGTTTGGGAACAACAACATTCAGAATAGATTGGGAACACGAACATGAAAATTCGTCTCGATGTTGTTGTTCTGCATTGCACTGTAAGGCCCTTTGAGGAGGGTAAAATGAAACTTTGTAGAAAACTGAAGGGAATCTTTCAGCATTCGGGTATTTCAGTTTAGGTTTAAACATGTTTCCTTTATTGCAGGTACTGGGTAGTTAACTTGTTAGGATATTTGCCTAGCCAGTGTTAAACAGTGTTTTAAGCTGTTGGGTGTATGCTTAATGAACTTGAAAGCACATGGTGGCGCTGGAGAAAAATAACCAGCTTTTTCTCTGGTGAACGTGAGTTTTGTCAGGCTACCTTTTTGGTTGGGGAGGATGTGGGATTTGGTTTCTGTGTATATGATACTTTCTATGATGTACGAACACGTTTATTGGAAAGTAGCTTTGAGAACATTGTGTACCACTTGTAATTCAGGCTTGAAAACAGAGAAGCTTGCATGATTCTGTCTTTTATTATTGACCTGTGAAGCATAGTTTGAGATATCAAGCGTTTTCTTTGTTTCTTTCTGTTTGGAAATGTTGAAGTTGAAATATATTTTTGCTATAGTGCTGTCAAGCATTGAGTGCTTGCTTCATTTAAAAACACGCCTGGAAAAAAAACTTGGAATTGTAGGGGGAACATGGCTTTAACTCATATGCATCCCAAATCTTTCTTGTACTATGCCCAGTGTACACCTTCATTAAAAATAACTGGAAGTGTGATTGATAGAACTTAAGAATTTTAGGCCGAAGGTCTTATATAAAAGACTTCATTTCGCACCTTGCTATTGTATATGGAAATAACAGCTATCTATCTGTTACCAACAATGGTAATAGTTTCTTTCAGAATCTTGCAGATTTCATGGTAAAGAGCTGCAGTAATGCTGTTTACAAAAAGTGCAGTCTCAAAAAAAAAAAAGGCACAAAAATGCCTATTGTAAGATGAAGGGTTGTGCATCGTGACTTTTCACAAGCGTGGAACATCACAGTCTGGAGCTGTGTGTGGGAAGAACAAGAAACGTGCAACTGCTGAGGCCTGCTGTTTTGTAAAATGCAAATATAGCAGGCTTCTGAATTTTCCCTACTTCACTAATGGCCATCTTGACCGTACCTACTGTGCTGGTGTAGGTACCTTCACTGTAGTGCAAACATGGTATTTCTTGAGAGGTAGCATAAGCATTTTTTAGATATTAGGCTACAAAAATAGTTGCAAGCACATGAAAATGGTGAGTTCAATAGTGGTATCTGCAGCATTGCAGATGAAATCCTAATCTGAATCATATTAAGTTACGTTAACAAATCTCTATTACTGTTTTTTGCAATAAAAGGTGGTACACCATGCATATTAAAGAAAATGTCTGTCCCTTCTGATCCTTGAAGGTACACGATGTTGTTGGGTTTATTTTCATAGGCAGTACATCCTTTTCAATTTATAGCAAGTAAAACTTCCCCCTAAAGTAAGTGGGTTTGATCTATAATTAGAATTCTGGAAGTGTTTCCTTGTTGCTAATGGACAACAAGCATATAAACCCCAAGGGGTGGGTGTTCTGAGGCTTTTCTACCCCATGTTGAGAGTTCCTTTATGGAGGCAGCCAACATAACGAAACACCACTCTTCACTGCTGGGATGTAGAGTTACAAACCTCCCCACTTCCCTTCTAAACTCCAATGCTAGTTTAAGTGTTAAGAACTTCCCCATAATATGCCTTGCCTGAGCCTTGTGGAGTTGTATATATTTAGCGAGTCATTAAATGTTGCCACAAACTACTGCAGGACATCTCCTTTATCACAGCTTTGAGGAAGGGGGAAGCCATAGCATCTTCTTATTTTGAATTATCTCTTCAAAAGAATATCAGCTGCTGACTTTCACGAGCGATAATTCATACAAACCCTAATTAGGTAATTGGAAATAGTTCATCACATTTAAGGCACTAGCACTAATAATAGTAATTAGTTAAAAATAGATAATTTTTAAATATATCAGCTTTGTCTCTAAGGAGAAAGAGGTGTTTGTCTGGATTCTCTTGCTTTGGGCATGATCTTTATGAAATCCTGGATGTACAAGAGCTATTTTGAAACCCTCCCTGCCAGCAGCAAAGAATTGTACCAGGAAGAACACTTGGCACTCCTATGGATCCTAACGCATCCTTGGAAGTGAAAATAATTAGCAATGCAACTGGAATATAGTTTATTCTATTTCTTTCTCTAAACCTTTCCTATAAGAGCACTGCTAGGACTCCACACTAAAGGGAGGAGCAGAGGGGGAGAAGGATTTCTGCTGGCTCCTACCCTTCACTTTCTGGTTTCACAGGGGCTCAGTGGCCTGGAGCCGTTCTCATCAGAAGGGCTACGTAGAGCCAGAAGGAGAAACGCACTTAGTCCTAGGTTTCCCCATCTGTAACAATATTCCTATTTCAGATTACAGTGCTGCCATTGCACTTCAGTCAACATTTCAATTTCTGGTAATTAAAATCTTGGTGGTAACCTTGACACCTGGCCTGTGATGGTGATGCACAGAGGAATTGAAAGCACATCAACCACACGCTGTATGTTAGCTAGGAGGGGGAAGGGAATGATAGAGTGGAGTGAGTACAGTGCTGATCAGCTTTAGCATGTAGAAAAACCAAAGCCTCACAGGTAGAGCACAGTACAGTTTGGTCTTACCAAGTCTGCCAGAAAGATAAACACAGTTGAGTCGAGCCTTTCCATATACAGCTGATGCAAAGCATCTCCCAGCAAGCCTGCCACCCTCTGAGGATGGCAGCCTTCATCAGCAAAATTACAAGAAACTAACAACTCTCTCCAGTGTAGGAATTCAAGCATCCTCCCTTTTACAGCATCCCTAAGCCTTGGTTCTACCCTGCAAAACATTCCCTTCATAGCTACTCATTAACCTTACACCGCTTGTTCTATGTAGTTATTGTAAATCTTCCAGCAGGATGAAAAAGTGACTTCTATGTTCAGTTATCACTCTATTATATCAAAAGTCTAAAATCCAGTACAGTACACTGCCAGTAACAGTACAGATTTTTTTTAAGGGGCCAGAGCATCTTTCAAGTTCAGATTAACCTAGAGTAAAGCATTAGTCAGTAAGCAGTAATGAGTAGTTTAAGAAGGGAGGGAAAAAAAACAGAACAAGTTAGAGTTTGTATTGTGTTTTTAATCAGTACAACAGAATTCTCAAATAGGAAGATACAAATTAGTAAAACTGCCACACATCATTTTTAAAACTCGTGTATTTTTTTCAGTGGGCACTTAAAAGTAACTTTTCCCTCCAAAGTCCACGCTCCCTCCCAGTTGGATCACCGAAAGGTAGTCTGTGGCAAATACCAAATGGCATTGAATTTGAGCTTGTGAGCAAGGAACTGCATTGCATGCTACCAGGTACCTCAGCGCTCTCACTTCAAATTACCAGTTCTTAAAACTATCAACCTTGTAGGAAAAGGACTTGGTACTGCAGTTCTCGTTTTGGGTTAGCATGAACAATTTAACCTCACATTCTTGCCTCACTAAAAGATAAGGTACCACTAAGGCTTTCTAAATAAATTTTTTTTTAATAATAGCAAGTGACTGGACTTGACCATTAACAAGAAATCAGGAGTTTCAATTAAGAGAACCATTAGCACTTGGCTTCACCAGAACTTTACATCTGTACAATTTAAACACTCTAAGTAACAGATCTTATCTCAAAAAATAAATTAACTTTTCCCTTTAAATTTCCAGGGTTTAAAATAAGACTTTTGAATCCTTGCTTGATGACTGCATGTCAAACTTCCACAGTTGTTGCTTTTTAGCACATGACAGCCTTCAGAAAATAACCATCAGCTGGTACACAGGGCAGAACCACCTTTATTACAAAAACACTTTCAGAAGAGGTGAACACCTGAAAAACTTGTCACAGGGTTTAGAAGCAGTAATTTTACTACTACAGCCCATTAAACTGAGTAATGCAAGGATTCTCTGATTAAATCGACATCCTTGAGATGCGCAAGTGGTACCACCCCAGCTCTCCAAATGTAGGAACTGTGGAACTGTGTCACCCACAGACACACATCTAGAAGTGTCATAGCCATCTGCCCAGAGTTACAGCTGCTGAACTGCACACTTTGCTGCTCAAAATAGAAGTGAGATGCACCAATTTGTTCCTCCCTGACTTCCGTTTTCTTTCTTACCAGTTTCTTGTCATATTGCTGGCTTAGGGTGGAAACAAAAGGATTGGACCTTCTCTACAACCTCTGTCCCCAAATTTAAGAACAAATCAGAATATACTGTCCAAATAGAATTAACTTCTAACTCGCATAAAAAAGATCTTTCCAATACAGGTATAAGAACACTGAAAGAAGTCAACATTAATTTAAATTTAATACAAAAAACCCAATTATCATTTACAAATATTAAAATTAACTTAGTCTATCCTGGCTAGTTCATACTCTGGAATTTCATTTTGAAAGCGTTCAAAGCCTTGAATGCAAAACTAAGCATCCTTATTATGTTAAGCATCTCTTCCAGCAGAAGGCCCCCTGTTCACCATTTTGTTCTGAAAATATTTTTACAGAACTACGAGTCAGGTAGCACACAGACAAGTTAGCAAGATCTGGCTGTACAGTATTTTGTATAGATACTGTTAAAGTGCATCAAAGAATCCCATCCAGTGCAAGTTCAAACTCTTCCTTAGATCGTCATCATCATACTGTAACTGAAGTCGGGAAAACGGCCGTGGGGGAGCTACTCTATTCTTTGAGATTATTATAATGCAGGTGAAAGTAGTCAGTATCATAAAAGCCCCAATAACTATCCCAATGGCTTCTGGAAGATTTATGCACCACTGGTCAGCGAGCAAGCACTTGGTGTTACTGAAAGTGCCATTGTGTGGCCGCGGTGTCAGCCCCAGGATGTGGCACATCATTGGGTAAATGTCAACGTTGTTCATCGTGCTCTGCTTGTAACCCCGATGAAAAGCAGGCCCGCGAGCGGCCAGGAACGGATGCATGCTCGGGAGAGCATTGTCATAGCCATGGTCGCCTACTGGAGAAATGCAAAGCGAAGAGTTAACATCACCGTTTCTGTTTGCATATTGAGTATTCCCCTCCCTCTCTCTCCCCCACCCCCAAAAGGCATATATTTTAATTAAAGACTAACGCAGAATGTAAAAGCAGCTGCTGGATCAAACACTGAAGGAGCCCAGTGTTCATCCCCCCATTATTTCCTTTCCTTTCAGTCATCAATATTTTCCATTTTCCCCTTCCCGCTCCTCATGTTGAAGTTGAAAAGGATGCTGCCACTCCACAAGTTAGTAGCCGGAATGCAGATCTGTACTTCTCAGGTTTTGGAAAGACATCTCCCCCTTGCAAAGCAGACACTTTAATTATGTGGTAAAAGCCAAGCACTTTCCCCTTGACAGCGTTCAGTTTGAGCACATTAAGTGCCCTCAAATCATGCTTATCAGATCAGGTACTTCAGGAGAAAGGATACCTGAACAGTCAAAACCAAAACATCAGTCAAAGGATCATGATGCCCGTGACAGCCAAACAACAAAATGTTTGTGTCTACAAGTTTGTGTCACCAGTACCTGGACATTTGGTAGGTTTTTAAGAAATACTCACTCTGATTTTTGGTGGAATATACACAACTAAAACCGAGCCACAGTCAAATTTCCTAACAACACGCCTGAAAAATCTGTCCAAGATGCCAAAAATTTCTTGTAGCACACTCAGCACAGTATTTGAGTGACTGCATTTAAGTTTTGAGTTCATTTCTTAGTAGCAGTTTAACGAGTCTCCCTAAGAACTGTCTCCTTGGCTGCTTCACTGACGTTTCTGATGTGAAATCTCAAGATTCCTATGGATTAGGTCACGCTCACCACTTCAGTATACTTCCAATACTCATTTTTAATGTTTTCCACCATTATGTTTGTTACCAG